AAGACCATGTCATCTGTGAATAAGGATAGTTTGACTTCTTTCTTTCCAGTTGGAATGCCCTTTATTTCTTTGGAAGCTCTGGTATTGGGTGCATAGGTATTTGTAATTGTTATATCCTTTTACTGAATTGGACCCTTTATCATTATGTGATGACCGTTTTTGTCTCTTTTCACAGTTTTTGATTTGAAGTCGATTTTTTCTGATATAAGTATAACTACTTCTGCTCCTTTCTGGCTTCTGGTTGCATGGATTATCATTTTCCACCCTTTCACTTTTAGTGTCTGTGTCTTTATAGGTTTTCTTATAGGCAGCACATAGTTGAGTCTTGTTTCTTTATTCATTCAGCCACTATGTCTTTTAATTAGGAACTGAATCCACGTACATTCAGGGATAATATTCAGCGTTATTATTTAGTAAGGGTTTACTATTGACATTTTGTTGCTTGTTTTCTGGTTGCTTTGTAACTCTTCTCTTCCTTTCTTCCTGTCTTTCTTTGTGGTTAAGTGATTCTCTGGTAGTATGTTTTAATTCATTGCTTTTTATTTTTAGTGAATCTATTATAAGTTTTTACATTGTGGTTATCATGAAGCTTACAAAAAACATCATATAGATATAACAAGTTATTATAAGGACATGACAACTTATCTTAGATCACAAAGAAAAGAATAGAAACAAAAAAAAATTTTTAAACCTACACTTTACTCCCTCTCCCATTTTGACTTTTATTTGTCTCAACTTACATATTTTCATATCACCCATTTCTTAACAATTTGCTGTAGCTATTATTGTTTTGATGTATCTGTCTTTTGGCCTCCATACTAGAGTTATGAGTGGATTGCACACCGTAATTACAGTATTAGAGGGTCCTGGGTTTGTCTGTGTACTTAATTTTACCTGTAACTTTTATGCCTTCAATTTTTTTTTTGCACTTTAATTTTAATTTTAATTTTTTTTAATTTTTATTTATTTATTTTTTTTACTTTCACATTGAAGAACTTCTCTTAGTACTTCTTGTCTGATGGGTCTGGTGGTAGTGAATTCTCTCAGCTTTTGTTTGTCTGGGAAAGACTATCTCTCCTTCATATTTGAAGAACAGCTTCGCTGAATGCAGTAATTTTGAGTGACAGTTTTTTTTCTTTCAGCACTTCAGAGTTTAATTCCTTTTCCTCCTGGCCTGTAGGATTTCCATTGACAAGTCTGTTGCTAGACAAATTGAGGCTCCTTTATATAATATTTGCTTATTTTCTTTTATTGCTTTTGGGATCTTCTCTTTGTCCTTGACCTTTGAGAGTTTAATTATATATGCCTTGGCATAGTCTTACTTAGGTCAGATCTTTCTGGTATTTATTTTCTGACCTTCCGATACATAGAAATTTGTCTCTTTCTCAAGTTTTGGGAAGTTTCTTTTTTTGTTTGTTTGAGTAAGGCTTTTTATCTCTCACTCTTGTTGAACTCTCTTTGAATACTAAGAATTCTCAGATTTGGCCTTTTGATGTAACTTTTTACATCTTGTAGATAATCTTTATTGCTTTTCATTCTTTCTTTCTCCTCTGACTGTGTATTTTCAAAAGCTTATCTTCAAGCTCACTCATCTTTCCTTTGCTTGATCCATTCTGTTGTTGAGAGCTTCTAATGAGTTTTTGAGTTCAGTAAACATAGTTCCCAGTTCCAAGATTTCTTTTTGGTTTTTACAATTTTTTTCAGTCTCTTTGTTAAGTTTCTCTGATAAGTTTCTGAATTGCTTTTCTGTGTTTTCTTGGAGATCACTGAGTTTCCTTAAAACTACTGTTTTGAATTTTTGGTGAAAGAGATAACATTCCACCATCTCTTTAGGGTCAGTTGCTGGTTCCTTGCTTTGTCCATTTGAGGAGATCATGGTTCCCTGTTTGCAGTTGCTTCTTATGGATGTATGTTTATGTCTTTGTATTGAAGGATTATTTGTTTCTGTCTTCCCTGGTTGGCTTGTTTTCGTTTTTATTGGATATATTTGTTTAGAGATTGTTCACCACTAGGCCACTGACTCATTTTCAACTCTAGGTAGTACCTTAAGCCCAGGTTTGCCTTGGCTCTAATAAATGATCTAAGCACTGCCCTTCCTGACAGGGAGATTTTAAAGGTGATACCTCAGCAGTGCAGGAAGGCTGACTAGGGATTCATTCCCAGAAGAGCTGTGGTACAAATCTCCTGCAGTGTGATGCTGTTGTAGGTACTGCCTCCCCCTTTTCTCTGCCTCTCCTCAGGGATGGTTCTCCTCTCAGACGCTTGTGATGCTTTCTATGAGTTAAGGTAGAGAGAGGTCTCCTGCCAGAGAACCCAAGATGGTGGAGAAGTTGGTTGCTCTTCTCAATCTCACCTTTTGCTGTATGGAAACAGTGAGTTGGAGAACAATTTTCGGCATACTTGCTGCTGGGCAGAATGAGGGGAAGGGCATCATGGATGTGAGAGTCCAATTCTTTTACTGTTTTCTTGGAGTTTTTTCGCTTCCCTGCAGCCCTCAAAACTGTTTCATCTTCATCTTTGAGTGCTGGGTTATTTCTGATGATAATCTTGGCACTATGTATTTCTTTTTGATTTTCTGTTGGTGGGAAGGGTGGTGGAAGTATGTGAAACTAGCTTGCTTCTATGCTACCATTTTGGAACTGGAACTCTCAGGCATTCTTAAATATTTCTAAACCTTAGCTTTCTCTTCTGGAGAATGGGGGTAATAAATAAAGCTGCCTTTCAGGACTTTTGGAAGGACACACTGTATTTAACTCATGGAAAGTGATTGGCACACTGCCAGACAAAGAGAAGGGGCTCAAATGTACCAGTTTTGATTCTTTTCACAATTCTACAGTTGAGTTGGTTTATGTCCAACCCACCTAATAATTTTTGGTAGATAAAATGAGACAACAGATGGGAAAACATTTTTGGAATGTATAAATTGATCTTTTAAAAGTAGTGATTTTTCTAAATCTTAAAAGAAAATCATTTGCAAAGGTTGTTTCATCTGTATATGGCTAGTGGCTTTAACATGTGCCTTTGAACAAGGGTAGAAAGCAGGTAAAGAGACAAGGAAAGGTCACCAGGAGGGTGCAGGGTTCTAAGCTGAGAGTCGAAGGAGCGAAAAGAGTCTGCCCTTTCTGAGGAAAAGAGCAGATAGAATCATTTGGGTAGGAAATCCTGGCTAAAGGCAGATTCCAGAGAACTCTGGGTGGTAGGTGAAGACCTCAGGCTTTAACCAGCAGGCAATGGACATGAAACTAATCGCAGTGACACCCAAGTGTCTCTAGCTTCTCCATAGCCCTTTGATCTGCCAAATTGTGAGTCTGTTTCTCTGACTATGTGTGTTAACATATTGCACAAAGCTCAGAAGCGTTTCAGGTAGATCTTGAGGGCCTGACAGAAAAAGCTGGTGAAGGCCATGAAGGAAGGGAGCCTGTGCCCTGGAAGTGACTCAGCCTGTGCAGGGAAACATTGCCCAACAGAAGGCTTGGTGCCCAGCCCTCAGCCTTCTGTGACTGACTCTATGTGATGGAGAGTTGGGTCTCTACCCATTAGAGAGGTGGAGTGGGGTAGGTAGGGGGTCCTGCAGGGTGCTTCTAAGGCTCAAGGATGAAATCTGCCCCATAAGATGTGATAGGCCCATGGATCCTCTGCTTAGACCTTGATTACACTCTGAAGACCCACCCTGGTAGAGATACTTGATCTGGATTTTGAGATTTTTAGGTAGGGGTGGGGAAGTGGGAAGGGATAAAAGTTTGCTAAGTACCTTTAATGCTCATAATCATTCTCTGAGGTGCCTGTGGTTTACAAATGAAGTCCCTGAGATTGATAGGCTAAGAAACTCCCAACTCCAGTTTCAGACATGGGGAAGCATTATAATGTGATGAGAAGAATGTGTTAGAAGTCAGGCAGAAGTGGGTTTAGACTCCCTTATTACTATCGATTTGGTTGCTTATCTGTAAGCTCCTGGGCAAATAACTTCACCTCTTTGTGCCCTCATTTCACAATTAAAAATAGGAATAGACACACCCTTTATTATAAGAGTGATGTTACAATGATCTGCGGTAGCACAATTAAGGTATATAGTGCCATATGTGGGAAATGGTAAGAAGTGGATAAGGATTAACTGATGATTGTTTCTTTCAGAGTTGAATGGTATGGGAGGACTAGAACATAGACAGGGACATAAATTCAAGAAAGGTCTCTCTGGGGAAGAGACATTTCAATTGAGATAAGAGGGAGCCAGCATTATGATTATTATGGAATGAAGGATTTATTATAGTTGGAGCAGTAGCTGGACATATTTAAGAAAAAGAAACCCAGCACATCCAGCCACCAAGGTAAGGCCGTGAGAGATCGTGGAGAAGGTGTTGGAATACTGCTGCCTCTGTGCAGCGTGCACCTCTCTGGGCCTACAGCCATGCCTCTGGAGGTGGGCCTTAGGCAGATGTTGGTCAGCAAGACCTGCCATTAGAAAGGCAAGCTGGGCACAGAACAGAAGAGCATGGGGACAAGCAGAGATGCTCCAGGTACTTCTGTGCCTGCCCATCAGCATATCTGACTATGATGAGCTTTCAAGAATGCCAACTGCTGCTTTACTTCCTACCTTCCAAAGCTTGTGCAAGTTCCTATTTTGGCCAACTCTCTCCCAGAACCATGCAACAGGGGGATTCTGAGAGCTACAGTTTCATCTTATCCAGTTGACAGCACAATTATGACAATGCTAGTACATTATTTCTTATGATAGGAGAAACTTGAGGGAGAAGTTTGGGATGGAGAAAAACAGTTCTGTTATGGACATACTTCATTTGATATGTATGTTTAAGATGGCCTCAGTGACCCCTGTGTCCTGCTGTTCATGCCCTCTGTAACTCCCTATCCTTGACTGTGGGCTGGATTTAATTACAAACTCCTAGCAAGCAGAATTTGGCAGAGGTGATGGAACCTGAGATTAGCTTACACCCATGACTTCTGTTTTGGGTACTCTTTCTTGCTCTCTCATTCTCTTGCCCCAGAGCAGGGCAGTTGCCCCTCTGTTAGCTGCCTGTTGAGATACCCATATGGCAAGGAACTGGAAAAGGCCTGTGGCCAATGGCCAGTGAGGAACTGAGATCCTTGGCCCAATGACCTACCAGGAACAGAACCCTGCCAACAACCACATGGGAGAGTCTGGAAGCAAATTTTCCTTTGGTTACACCTTCAGATGAGATTGCAGCTCCATCCAGTAGCTTGACCATAATCTCATGGCAGAACGTCAGCTAGAAGCACCCAGGTAAGTGGCACCAGATTTCTCATTTACAGAAAATGTGACATAAAAAGTGTTGTTGTTTTAAACCACTAAATTTGGGGGGTAATTTGTGATACAGCAATAGATAATCAGTACAGACATTCAAATGAATATTTGTGCTTGGAGCTTAAGGGAGAGGTCAAAGGTGGAGTAAGTCTTTAGGAATCTTTAGTATTTGATGGCACTTAAAACCATGGAACTGGATAAGGTGATTAAAGTAGGAACAGTGATCAGAGGAGAGCAGAGCTCTGAGGAGTGAGCCTTGGGCTTGCCAGCATTCAGGTTTGGCCAAAGGAGGGAAATTTAGCAAAGCAAATGTGCATGAAGATGCCAAGGTGGAAGGAAGAAGAGCAGAAGGGTGTGGTGTCAGGAGTCGGGAGAAAATTGTGTCAAGGAGAGAAGTCTGTGCTGTGTGAGTTCAGTTAAGGTCAATACCTCTGAGAAGTGGCCATTGACTTTGACTACAGGGAGTTGGTTGGCAACCTGGACCAGCAGCTGGAGTGGAAGAGAAGCCCAGTTGGAGAGAACTGGGGAAAGCAGGGAGCAGGGAGGTAATTGTGTTCCTGAATAGGCATTAGGAGGTGTGTCCAAAAAATATGGACTTTCCTTTTCAATCCCACTAAAACTGTTTACTTTCCTGTGGTCTCTGGAGATGGGAGGCAGGAGAAGAAGACAAAGGGCTGAGTAGAGGGTGGCGTTAGGGAACTTGATTGACATAGCTGAAGCAAGTTTGATGGCAGAGCCAGGGGGCTCATGTGGTTTACATCCTATTTGGGTTAATTAGTTAATGAAATCACTTTTGCAAAATTATAAGAGAAATCTGACATGGTTGACTCCATCTTGCTTCTAGTCTCACAGGCTGCCTGTCTTCACTCATTCTTGGGCTTAGTCCAAGCTAACTTCAGGAAACATTTAGTTTATAGTATAAATGATAACAGGCCTTCCCCAAAACTCAACTACCTTTCTAAAGTTAATGAACGGCCACGAGGTTATGAGGATGTGAGGAGCCAGAATTCTGCTAAGGCGTAGACATAAACCATTACCAGTCATTATTCCGGAAGTCACAAGATATGCAACTTTCCCAATTACTCCTGCGGAGAACATCGCTATTGTAGATCTTAAAATTGGCCATTTGAGCTATCTTTTCAGGTTTCTGCATTTCTGACTACCGATGGCTCTACCTGGACCTTCCCTGACCTAACTTGTCCTGTGGCCCCCACCCAGAAGTAGAATCCCTGGCTTACCAAACTATCCTTGAAAAACCCTAGCCTCCAAATTTTCAGAGATTGATTTGAGTAATATCTCTGTCTGCCATGTGATGTGGCTGGCCTTGTGTCTATTAAACTGTTTCTTTATTGCAGTGTCACTGTCTGGTTTTGTCTGTGCAGTGGGTAAGAAGAACCCATTGGACACAGGCATTAAGATAGTTTCTTTGTATTGTCTGAACTAGAAATCTATCCTTCAGCCATTCAATACTCTGCACAGGGACTCTGCCAGGCAGTGATGATCCATCATCAAGTCAGACATGATGCAAAGGGGAGAGAATCCAGGGTCTGGAGAGGGACAGACGATTTCATAAACAGTATAGGACCTGTGAGTAGTCCAAGTGTAACAGAGTTGCATCCTAGCACTAAGGGAGAGAGAGAAAAAGGGCCCAAGCTTGCTGGAGGGTGTGAATGAAGACTTCCTGGAGGAGGTGGCCCCTAGTGGAGCTTAAAGACTTGTGGTTATTGTGATTATCAAATATTCCAGGCCTCTTCCTGCCCTGCCCTCCAACCCCACCTGCTATTTCTCCTCCAACTCTTCCCTTCCAAGTTGCCCACTGCTGTCCAGCTTTTCCCTTCCCCAAACATCTCTCCTTTCTCCTTCCAGTTATCTCCCTTGCCCTCCCCCTTTCTTTTCTCCCTCCTCCCTTCTCCACTAGCCTCCACTGCTCTTTTCTCCCCTTCCCTCCCCTTCCCTGGCCCAGGATGAAAGCCCTTCCACAGCCTCCCAGCTGATGAATTATGCATGCCTTTCAGCGGGTGTGCCTGGCATCCAATTAGGGCCTTGGCCAGGTTGATCACTTAGACAGATTAAAATGTAATTCATTGGGGTTGACATTTAAGCCCCAGTGTGAATGGCAGTGAGGAGAAGTAAATGCTCTCCGGGTACCTGGTGTGTATTTGGGGGTAGGGGAGGCTCTCAGCTACCTGTACTTGCTTAACTAATTCCAGCCTGGAGTAATGTCAGTATGCACACTGGGCCTCTGATGCACAGTGGAACGGGGGAAAGGTCCAAGGCAGGCTTTGAGCCAAGGCAGGCTTTAAAAAAATCAAAAAACTTTTTATTTAGAACTAATTTGAGATTTACGCAAGAGTAGTGATATTAGTACAGAGAGTTCCCATATGCCCGTCACTGAGCTCTCCCTCATGTTAACATCTTATGTAACCATGGCACAAGGATCAAAACTAAGAAACTGATGAGGGCACAATACCATTAACTAAACTACTAACGTTTTTCCCATTTCACCCAGTTTCCCACCAGGGTCGTTTTTCTGTTCCAGGATCCAGGCCAGGAGCCCACATTCTAAAGCAACCCTGTGGGATCGTGCCTCTCCAGAGACAGCAATTCCTCCCTGATCCTCAGACCAGCATTTCTCAAACTTTAGGGTCCAGAGAGTTATCAGGGATTTTGTTTAAAGGACATGTCCTTCCCTAGACATTCTGATGCAGCGAGTCTTAGGTAGAACCCTGGCACATCCTTAACAAGCATCCCCAGCCAGACACACACTCCCAGCTAACTGGCTGGTTCCTGGATTCTTTGTAAGTCAGGTCTCAACTTGTAGATTTCCTTCATCCCCTGGCTTAGCCTCAGAAAACAGCAGCGTTACCCCCACCAGCAGCTACTACCAGACCCTGGGGAGATGGCTGGACTAACACAAAATCCTGATTTTGACCACTGGGTCGGACACATCATCTGCCAGGCCTAACCCCCTGGTTAAATCCTACTTGAAGAGGAGAGAAAGTGACATTTACCTGCCAGTCACAGATACATACATATTTTCATGTAATCTAAACAGTAACTGCTGTAAGTAGATACTATTTCCCCCATCTTATAGGTGTGGAAACTGAAAAAAGTGATATTAAGGGTAGTGATATTGCCAGATTTTGCAAATAAAAATATTAGAGCCCTAGTAAAAGTTGAACTTTAGATAAGACAATTCTGGAGACATACTTATATTTTTAAAAGTTGTCATCTATTGGAAATTCGCATTTAACTGGACCTCCTGTATTTTATCTTGCAGCCCTGATGAAGTGATAAGTCCGTGGCTGCAGAGCTCGTCAGCAGGCCCGGATGTGGATCTCACTCTGATGTCTACAGCGCAGGGTACCCTGTGCTCGCCAGCTCAATGCCTGCCTCGCCTAGTGAGCTGCAGGCAACATGAGGTGGGGGCTGTATGGATTTGTTTCCTGCTGTATGTCCAAGGCCTGGCACCATATGGCAGTAGACACTTAATAAATATTTGTTAAATAAATGAATGACTAAATGCATTCACGAAGGGACTCAATACTCTCTTTGTACCAGGGAAGGCTCCAGATGATGATGATTAAAAAGAAAGGCTGAGCTGACTAGGTTTAAACCACCTTTGCAAAATTATAAATTATAACTGAGGAAATTAGGACAGTGAAAGAAATCAGACCTAACTGACTCCATCTTGCTTCTAACTTTTAAGCTGTCCTTGCTCATTCCTGGGTATAGGCCAAACTAACTTTGGGAAGGGATTCAGTTCATGGTTTGACTCTGAAACAAAGTGGATAATAACCCTTTCCCAAAAAGACCCTCTTCTTGCCTGGGGACCAGTTTGCTTTTGCAGGACTAACTAATTAGCTACAGATTAGAAATCACAGTTTAGGGGCCATGCAACCTCTGGCTCCAAGAGTCTGAACCTTCCCAAATTGCTCCTGGGTATAACATCACTAATATAAAACCTAAAATCGGTGCTTGAGATATTTTGCAGATCCTGCACTCCATGAATCAGCTGACACCACCCAGACCCATAATCTGACTCAACCAGTTTCGCCATCCCACCCAGGAACAGAGAGAGCAAGAAAACCTCACTTTGACCCCCTATAATTCCATCTCCAACCTGACCAATCAGAACTTCCCACTTTTCAAGTTTCCACCTGCCAAATTATCTTTAAGAACTCTGATTCCCAAATGATTTTATTACTCAAATCAGGGAAATTGATTTGAGTAATAAAAAAACTCCAGTCTTCTGCACAACTGGTTCTGCCTTGCGTGAATTACTCTTTCTCTATTGCAATTCCTCTGTCTTGATAAATCTGCTCTGTCTAGGCAGTGGGCCAGGTGAACCCAGGGTGGTTACAAGGGCTGGGTGATAAAACTGCCTCTAGGTAGGCAAGAGGAGTTGGAGGTCTGTGGCCTCGTCCCCACCCTTGGGGGCTCAGTTCTTCCACACTGAACAATGGCAAGGAGCCCTTTTTGTCTCCACCTCTCAGGACCTCTGCTTTCTCAAAGGTGAAATGGGATTGTGTCTCTTCCAACTCTAGGCTTCTGTGAGTCTATGCTTTTTCTTCCTTAACCCCACCCTCTAGTAGGCAGAGAATATGGCCAGAGTAGAGGATTTGCTGCTGAACATGGCACATCTCCTTCCCAGGTCACTATTTCTTCTCCCTTGTCTTCTCCTTCCCCCTGCTCCTTCTCTTCCTCCTCTTCCTCTTCCGCTTCTTCCTCCTTCTCCTCCTCCTCCATGTCCTCATCCTCCATCTCATTCTCCTCCTCCTCTTTCTCTTCCTCCTCAACCTCCTTTTCCTATTCCTCCTCCTCCTCCTTCATGCCAACCTTCTGAGCACCCCCTTGATGCCTGGCCTTGCATTTTTTCTTCCTCGAATGCTCCCTTCCACCCTAGCAGATAAAATCAGAAGCCCAGAGAGACCCAGCACAGCACAGTTCCTCACAGACAAGGAAAGACGTTGGGAGCGCATTGTGTCTTTTAAAATAGACCTGTTGTCGTCGGAATGTATTTTTAGCCATGGGAGAGACTGGCATGCACTCAGTGCCACCATCTGCCAAAGGCAGTTGCTAGGCAACTGACACTGACGACAGCGAGGAGATGACTTCATGGAGGATCTGGGGACCCTGGTGGCCCAATCCCGCTTCCCTGTCTAATGCCTGCATGCCAACAGTCAGGCCCACGAGAATACACGCTCCTCTCCTTCTGGGAGGGGTGGGGAGTTGATTCAAGGCCTGTCAGCTGAGCACATTGGTTGCTGCACAGGTAACAAGGGACACTGAGCCATCACTATCACTGTGACTGGTAGATTTTCTATTTAGGAACTTCAGATGCAACTGTGGTCTAAGATGGGGGCTCTGAATTCAACTAGACCAAAGAATACACATTCCTTTCCCTTGCAGCCCCATAGGTACTGGTCTGAGTCCAGGCAGGAGCTGTTTGGAGGTAGCTGGCCCAGAGGAGGCTTCATAGACAAAGAGCAGGTCAGTGGCCAGGACCCCGGATTATGGCCCAGTTCTGTATTTTGCTCTCTTTGTGAGTTGATGAGTCTTTTCCCTTTCCTGGCCCCACTTTTTGTCACCTTCCAAGAAGGGATACTGCACCAGATAAAATACAATTATGGGAATAAAAAACAGAATAAGCCCATAATAGAAAACCTGTAAGCCAGATCTGGGTTTGCTCATGTGATACTTCAGGTAAGATACTGAAATTCTCAGTGCCTTTCTCTCTTTATCTGCAAACAATAGTAGTAACACTTTCATTGTGATGTGAGAATTAAAGCAGCACATGAAAGACATGCACCTTTGTTTCGGAGTATTTTGGAGCACAATAAATGGGTGAGTATTACTCAAATTCTGTAGCTAAGACTGTATGCTGTCCACCAAGATCATTTCTCCTCATCCTTATTAATAGACTTTAAGCTGGGCGTGTTTCCAGCCTCCCTTGTAGCTAAATTCTCACCAAAGGCATATGAAAGGAAAGGATGGGGGCAGCCTCTACTTCACTCACAGGAAAAATGTTTCCCTGAGTATCTTCTTTTCTCCTCTATCTAAGCCAGAACATAGATATACCTGGGACACAGTCTGACCATGCAGAGCAGGAGGACATGTAGGGGCTGGGGCAGAGCAACAAGATGGAAGGGACCTGGGGCTGCTCTTGTCTTAATACAGTTTGTGAACTAAAAAGAGGACTGAGTGAATGTCATTTGCTTGGGATGTATGAGCACTGGCAGATGAGTGGAGAAGGGACAAAGAGAAGGAAAAACAGCCACAGCGTGGATGACAAGAGCTTAACCCCACAGGGAAGTGCTGGGAAATAGGGTGAAACAATGTTTAGGGCTAGCCAGGGAGTGAGGAAGTAGGGGCAGTTTTACACAGTTTTACCCTGACACCCATCGGACCCTGGCATCACCAGTCTTTCACATGCTGTGAACAGAGTGAATGTGAATGTTGGCAGCCCAAGGGCAAAGATGAAGGTGCTGGCCATGGGCAGCCGAGCCAGCAGGTGCAGAAATGGTATGGGGCACTGAGGGCATGTAGGCACAGCTTCTGCAGCATCAGCCATGCATTGCCAGAAACAGAAACACTTCCATGCTCTCGAGGATTCACTGTACATTGATTCTCTGCAGTTTAGCATTCCCCCTAATTAATTTAATTGCCAAGCGCTATGCATATGGAAGATTCCTTTTTTTTTTCAGTCCTGCCAAGCTCCTGGGCTCTATGTGATACTCATGGAGGTTATGTTGTGATTGAGGAGACAAGGTTAATGTTAAGAAACCACAGTTACTCAAAAGAGTATGCAATCAAATGGTTAATGGTGTTTCTGGGGCTCAGGGAGCAAATGACATAGGCCCTCAGGGAAGGGGCAGATATATGTGGACCAGCATAGTCAGAGAGTCTTCCTGGAGGAGGCGGTCTGAAGCAGGACTTTATCTGTTGGAGAGGACTGGGAGTGCTGGGGTGAAGGGCATTCTTGCTGAGCCATGGGATAGCTCCTTCTGTCAGGTGTGGGGTAAGCGGGTACGTTGGCTTCTTTGATGGCACAGTGGACTCAGACCAGTGGCTGCTGGAGATGGCTGCATGATGCATTTAGAGGAGTGGGCTGCAGGTTGTATCTTAGCTGGGAGGGATTTGGAGGAGAGGGTCTGGCCACAGGGCACATTACCATTGCTCTCTGTGTCCTGAGGTGGGGAGGCTAATGGCAGGTGCCCCTTGTCACACACCTGATATTGCCAGTGTCCAGGTGGCATGTCTGGCTCACTGAAACTGGGGCCTGCCCAGCAGTCAGGGAGCAGAGGTGAGTGTCTTAGAGTGAACTGGGGGCCTGGATGACCAACTCAGGCTGGGCACTCATGCAGGCAATGTGTCCAACAGGCTTAGCAGACAGTAAGCACTCACACCGTCTTGGAAGGCAGGGCTGGGAGCTCCTTATGGACCATCTGGTCCAGTTCCCTCATTTTGAGGATGGAAGCATGGAGCCCAGAAAAGGGAATGAACTTGCCCAAGGCCAGCAGAGGTAACCAGAATTCAGATTTCCTCATTTCCCAGGCAGCCAGTGCAGCAGACATAGAGCTAGGTGGGGTCACAGACCTCAGATCTTCTGCCATTCAACTGTGGGCCATTCATTTTACTCACTGGCAGCTCAGAACTCAAGAAAGGGTGAGATCAGTTTCCTCTGCCTCCAGGCATCTGCGTGTATGTGGGTGTGTGCTTAATCCATGGTAATTAGAACCTCTCCTTTCCTTCAAATATCCATGGCTCCTCTCTGCCACCTCTGTGCTCTATCCCAATGTAGAACACAGTTCATGGTGTCTAACGGCAGTCATTCCTGCTTTGCTTTCGGTTTGGTTTGTTTTAACCTCTAGGCACAGGTTGGTTTTGCTGATGAATGTGAGGAGTGGATTGAAATGAACAGATTAACTTCTATCCTCATTCTGTGTCCAATTTCAGTGGGAAAGAGGGTACAGGAAAGACTCTAGCCCTCCATTCCCTCAACAATGAATTGAGGACAAGTGGAAAAGAATGAGGAAGATCAGCCAGGCTTCCCACGTTTCCAGCCCTCTGAGCTCTGGAGGGAAAGTGGAGGGCAGTGTCTCTCAGAGGTAAGGAGGCTGTACAGCCTTGACCCAAACCCAGGCAAATAAAAACTGCCCTTTGTGGGCTTGTTACAAATCCCATCACTTCTCTCCACTCCTCATGTCTACAGATGTGGAACATGCGTTCCCTGTTCTAGGTTCTTTCTGCATTTTATTATCTTTGAGAAAATACAAACAGCTTCCTTTGTTCTCTTTGTGGAATTTTTGTCTGGAATGGAGAGAAAGGAGGAAGAAGGGTTCAGTCTTCAGCCCCTGAGAAGGGGAATCCCTCTTGAGCTTGTGCTAAGTGACCATGCCCACTGCAGGTAGAGGAGTAGATAGGCCTCCACGAGGCACCCAATCTGGGGAATCAGACCTACAAGTCAAGGTACTTATGGCCAATACAAGACATAAGATGAACTAAACTGCAGGAATTGCGGGTCACCTCACACATACAGGGATTAAGAAAGGAAAGATCAGTGCGGACTATTGCAGTTAGAGAAGACACTACGGGACAAGAAGCCTGCAGCTGGATGCAGACAGATGGGACTGGGCAGGACAAGAGGAACAGGAACAGGAGGCTCCGGTGTTCAAGGGGGAAGAGTGAAGAAAGCAGAGGCCCAAGCTGTGAAGGAGTAGAAATAAAACTGGAGAGTTAGGCTGATTTAAGGGCTGTATGGATGGAGGCTAGGGAAGGAGCAAATTGATAAAGAATCAGACAGGGTAGGGGAAGGAGGAGCTGGTTCTTTGATGTCAAGGCAGACAAGAGAAGAGTAAGTCAGCATGTGCTCTGATAGCCTAGGAGGGCTTCGGGGGACAGTGACATATCCACATCCATTTTCCAACAGTTTTGGGAGATGGGATGAGTAGGAATGGAGGGATCCGGTGCATGGGACAGGAAGAGGGAAGATGGGCAGCTTCCTGTGGAGCAGACCTGCCATGGGTCTCAGTTCCCACAGGCCCTGGAGATTTCCTCGTTAATTCTACAGATGTACTCATCGGGCATAAGCAGGGACAGGGGCTTGGTGGTGAGGAGCCTAATTCTGCCAGGTCAAGCTCGTCTCTCCACACCCTCCTCCGAGAAGCCTGGGATGAGTAAGTTGGCCTTGCCACCTGCTGTGGGGGGCTTACCTGAGAGTAATGGGGGTGCCCTCTCTGACTATGCTGGTCTACACTCATCTGCCCCTTCCTTGAGGGCCTATGTCACTTGCTCCCTGAGCCCCAGAAGCATGATTAACCATTTGATTGCAGGCTTTTTTGAGACACTTCTGCTTCTTAGCATTAACTTTGTCTCCTCAACCACAACACATGAGTATCACATGGAAGTCTGGAGCTTGGAGGCACTGAATAAACCCAAAACCTTTCATATACACAGCACTTGACTATTAAATTAGGGAGAAAGCTAAGCTGTAGAGAATCCTCAATATACAGTGTCATCATGAACATGGAAGTCCATTTCCCTTTCTGACAAAGCATGGCTGATGCTGCAGGGGCTGGATCCAGTGCTCTTCCGTCTGCTGGAGTTTCGTTCAGAAACAGAGAATACTTTATTGCCCATGGGATGAAGTTTCTCATTCCTTCCCATAGCACTTGAAGCTCTCAATCACTTGGCCTTGGCCTAAAGTCCTGTCTTTATTTCTCATTAGTGTCTTATCATCATCATCACCAAATAAAATTAACTGGCTTTAACTGAGCACCTATCTATGCCAGGAACTGTTCTGAGCATTAGATGTGTAATAACTTTTAATCTTTACAAAAACCCTAGGGGCAGAGACTATTCCTCTTCATTTCATGAAGGAGGAAACTGAGGCACAGAGAAACAAACTTGCCTGAGGTCTCTCAGATAGCACATGGTGGGACAGTGGCTGCATCTGACCCAGAACTTCTTGCTGTGCCTCAACCATACCATGCTTGCAGCTTTTACCCAAGCTGGTCCCCCTGTCTACCTCTCAGCTTCTCACCTACCTGCTGAACAGCTGCATAAGACCTGCCTGCAAGGTCTGTCTTAAAAACACCTCTTCTGGAAAGTCTTCTCCAGCCCCCCGGGAAGCCCCTCTCTCTGGACTCCCCCGCACACGCCGATTCTGGTACCCAGCACACCATCCTGCTAGTATTCATTCATGTGCCTGTGCGTCCCTCAAAGGAAGAAGCCACCCTCTTTCTATTTTTGCACTCTTTTAAATAAACATTTAATTGACATGAAGGAACTACATTGTCAACTTCAAGCCTTTTTCTCCCTCCCTCCAAGGTCTGGTATGGAGCAAGGATTCAATAAGCATTCACTGAATGGAGACAACTTTCTGCCCCGGCTTGGCTCCTCTGTGACCACCCTGTCCCCAACTCTTTGCTGACTGGGAGAATCCAGACATCTCGTACAGCTGCAGCTCTGTGTGGCCCACTTTGGCTGGAATTCAAGGAGTAATTACAGAAAAATGAGTATTATTACAAACCACATCAATCAACGTCCGTCTCCTCAAATGCTCTCACCAGGAAACAGGGATGATCTCAGCCAGACGTTGTCTTGTTTAAGCCCAAGTGTCTTTCTGGTGACCAGGAAATGTGTGCACCTTGGAGGGACACCAGCATTGATCATCTGTAACAGAGTCTGTAGGACGTACGGCTTGTCCAGTTTGAGGCTGCAGGTCCCTGGAGGCAGACAGACTTGAATTCAAATACCGTCTGTCCCTTTCTCTCTCTGTGGACTTGGACAAGCTTAACTTATCTGATTCTCATTGTTTTTATAGGTGATGTGGAGACAGTAATACTTCCTGGGAGTGTTGTCGTGATGATTAAATGACATGGCATGTCTAAAGTGTCCAAAGATTTCCTAAGTGATTAAAAAAATAAAAGCTTCCTTTTCCTCGCACTTCTCAATTAATCATTGTATTCTTTGTTCTCCATTGGGGGTATAATTTCGTAATCACGAGCACTTTGCATCAGCAGCCTGATGCTAAGGCCCAACTTTATCTATGTGCCTCCCAGAGCTCAGAGGAACCAGGACAGAGAAGTTTTCCTGGAGAAACAGGGGCTTGCTCTGGGCATAGGAGGAAGAATCACGTTAAAAATCAGATTTAAAAATATTCTGGGGAGTGCTAGGATAACCTGGATAAAAGGAGAAAAGCAACCAGGAAGTAGAGGATCCTCAGCCATGAAGCCCCTCCCACTGTACAACACCACTGTGGAAACCATCCGTGCTCAGTCTGCAAAGGAAGTTGTCTGTGTGATAAAGCCTGGATGCAGAGCATGGGAAACATCATGGATGGGGAGGGCAGGACTTTGCTGCTGTAAGAAGTCTGGGGAGAAGAACTTCTTGCCCTGGACCATTGACACATTTAGCAACCTGTTTAAAGAAAATTTATAAAACTTGAGACTCAAGTAGCCAAGTGCCTCCATTTGCATGGATGGAGCTTGGGTATGGTGGATTTTGGATGATTTTTGTCAATCTATTCATTTCAACTTAATAAAATATCCTGATACCCTCTTTGGGTGAGACATAGCACTAGGAGTTGGGAATCCAGGAGAGAACAAGGCAAGTTGGCACTCTGTGTTGCTCGCAGTCTTCTAGAATCAAGTAGGGGGAGGAATGGATTGGAAACACTGGATGCTGACCTCTGCCTGAGGGCAAAGGGAGGCCCGACTTGAGACTAGAAGGATGAGAGTGTCTGCTGCCATTATGCTGTGCCAGGTGGGTCTATTTTCTCCACTTATTATTTACTTTGTTGCTTATTAGCTGTGCTGCTATAGGAATATCACTGAATTTTTCTGATCTTCAGTTTCCTTTTTTGTATAATGGGACTACTGATAAAAACTTCTCATTTGAAATAAGCTTTGTGAAGATTAAGAGAGACAATGAGTATAACATATTTATGCAGTGCCTGTGTAATTACCAGACAGGTGCTGGTGGCAATGGTAGCAGAGATTTAACCCTGAGAGGTCCAGGTGCTTCCATATTGACCTGGATTCTCCAGTCTGGCAAACTCATCCCCTCATCTGAGGGTGTGGAGCTTCACCACCCCACACCCTCCTCCAGGCATGTGTGTTGTAAGGAAGAAGTCACCAATGGTGGCATCTCAGGCAACAGCTGTGAGACAGAAATTCAGATGACGGCCTTCATGTCTTTCTGTAAATCAAGAAGCATAAGATTATATCTGACAGACACTGTACTTTTGTGTCTTCTGAGTTCCCTTCAGAATTCCCTGGGCTCAGGACTCTGACAGCTGCAGATGACGCCTTAAATAACTACTCCGTCCTGAGTATCTTCTTGGGAAGAGTCTGAATAAACAATGATTTCACAGGATGTTGGTCAGGACATGGAGAAGAATCCAAAGTGATCTCTCTTACATCCCTCCCACAGGCAGGTCCTTAGGATGTTAGTGATGATGGTCAAGAAGTGGTGTACAGGGAAGACATTGCACCATCTCTTCCCACAGGAGGGTGGGGATGGCCACCCTTGGGACTTGACCAAACTGGACAGAAGTCGTCACATAAGAAAATTTCTACTACCCATTCCATATCTATGGATCACAGCCTCCCCAAATGGAGTCATCATTAGAGTGAATGTTCACATTTCTCATTCCCTGCTGCTGGCTGCCCTGACCTGCCAGAGGATGAAGTCTCTGTTTCATTCTATGAACAGAGCAGAGGACATGGAAAATCTTTGGTGGCTTTTGGCAGGAGAAGGATCAAAGCAGTATTCAGCAGCCAAACACACAGTCAAAAAGGCTGAGATCAAAGAGGAAGGATTTGATTTGAGGGTAAGCTCTCCTGTTCCTCATTATCGTCCTCACCAAGGCTGCAATCCTTCCCTGTTGAAAGGAGCAAGGATGAGGAATTTTGGCTGCTGCTGGCTGCTAAAGCCACGTGCTAACAGACAGACAGTCCCAGCACAGCTGCAATGTAATTGTAAGCCTCAAAATTAAAATGAAACCCATTGATATATAAGAGGAAAAGAGGAAGAACATGAGTGGGGTCAGAAAAAAACATTTGCAAGAGCCCTTCGGTTGGCCTAAATCCTACATATAAAACAAGAGGTGTAAGTGTTTGCCATGGAAACCGTCAGAGTGAATCTGGGGAAATTCAGGTCTTGGCAGGTGATTCCAGTCCTCCAGTATGGCTGGTGCTCAGTGCACCAAGGAAAATAAATGATGCCTTGATAAATAGAAAATCTGGAGATGGCAGAGCCAAGGATTGGATGTATTTTGTAAGAGGAAGGCTTCCTTGTCAGGATGGGGAATTTGCTTCCCTAACTCTATGGTTGGGCAGCTTTGTATATTTTTTTGCTGAGGGGCTTTATTTTAACCTTATAGTGTGAAGCTTTAAAAACAAAACAAACATGTGCTAATAAGATGCCTACAAGGTATGTGTTTGCTGGCTTCATTTCCCTTCCTTTCTGGGAAAGGGCCTGTATTAGTCTGTTTTCATGCTGCTAATAAAGACATACCCGAGACTGAGTAATTTATAAAGAAAGGTTTAATTGACTCACAGTCCCGCATGGCTCGGGAGGCCTCACAATCATGGCAAAAGGAGAATGAGGGGCAAAATCACATCTTATATGGCAGCAGGCAAGAGAGCATGTCCAGGGGATCCTCCCCCCCTTTATAAAACCATCAGATCTTGTGATACTTACTCACTATCAGAGTAGCATAGGAAAGACCCATCCCCATGATTCAATTACCTCCTACCAGGTTCCTTCCATGACACGTGGGAATTATGAGAGCTACAATTCAAGATGAGGTTTGGAATTATGGGAGCTACAGCCAAATCATGTCAGGGCCCTGGCCTAGGGATGAGAGGGTTGGGCAGCTCTCCCCCTGACTAACGCAAATCCCTTCCCCTTCGTGCTTCAGTTTCCCTGTAGCACAATGAGGATGCGGGATGGGATAAGTACTTCCCACGTGCACTTTATAGACAAGTGTTTGAACAAAACCTGGGCAAGTCACTGAGTGGATGTGACTTAAGTGTGCTGGTACTAAAAGGAGTGTGAGTGAGCTGAATACTGTATCAGCTGGCAGGTCCAACTGCCTACCACTCCCTGGCTTTTGGCTGCAGAGTGAGAGCAGGCTCAGCTCTTGTTCCTCACTCTAAATCTGTTTGGCACGTTTGTTTTTTTCTCCAGGACAATCACCAGGGGCCATCTCAGCCCTGACAAGCAGAGCTTTGCTGTAGGCTGTGGGTCCTCAGCCCCTGGAAGTGGCTGTGACATCGTAATTTCATTTTTCCTGGAAGACAAGTTCCCCTCCTCTCTTTCAGGCCCTTGCACAAGCTTTATTATGGGATGCCCTGGGCTCATTCTTCTAGGGTGAAAGGCTCCTTGTCCATTGAGGCAAAGCTATTATTCCTCGAGAGGAAAGCTTTGTCATTCCCAATGTGCTCCTTACATGCCTCTTCCGTCTTGATCAACGTGCGTGGGTGTTAATGTTGCTCAGTTCTCTGCAGCTGGCCTCACTTTGCATGGTTGTTTGGAGATAAGGTTATTTTGTTCCCATTTTCTTTCTTTTTAAGCAGACAGATTTTCTTTGGAGTCTGAATGGATATCATCCCAAGTCTGTGATGGGAAACAACTCTCTGGGAAACTTCTCCTGGGGCAGGGCATGAGAGCAGGAAGTGGGAAGGAAGCCATTTCCCGTGGTTGGAGAGATGAGCCTGCTATGGGGTCAGGCTTCCGTGTTGACAGAGAGGGTCACTAGGGATGAAGAGGGTCTGCATTCAGGTCTGGATCCACACTTGCTGCCCTGTGACCTTGGGAAATCCCTTACATTCTCTCGGCCACGTGGCTGCCATCTGTGCAAGGAGGGGTTTGGATTTGATTAATAGCTTGCAAATTTTAAAAATACTTCATAACCATCTCTTCAGTTGAAATCTATTGAAACCCAACATGAGTCATGGGAAACCACTGGGTGTTTTTGTAGGTCAAAATTTTCAAATATAGGCATCATATTGTTAGCCAAGGGTTTCTCAGTCTTAGCACTATTGAGCTTTTGGGCCAGATAATTGTAGGAGGCTGCCCTGTAGGATGTTTGGTGGCATTCCTGGCCTCCGCCCCGTGGATAGCAGTACCTCCCCACTAGTTGTGACTACCACATATCTTCAGACATTGCCAAATGTCCCTTGGGGGACAAAAGCACTTTGGTTGGGAACCACTGCTTTAACCTAGTAAAACCTACAAGGTGAGATTCTCCTTTGAAGGTGCATGGAAGGAATGTTACCTAGATCCATGCTCTGTGGTACCAGAGGCTCTTCTGATGAACTAGTGTTGCAGGAGACAGTTTGAAAATGGATAGATTCAGAACCCTGAAGTCTCTCAGCTCAACACTGCCATGTGAATCCAGGATCCTCTTTCCAAGTTGGATTTTTCACGGGGCCTCTGGAGGGAATTTCAACAGCTTGCTCAGTTTTGCTAGCTCCCGATTCAGAAGAACGTGCAGCAGGGCAAGGTGCTTTTCTAGCTATTCTCATTTGGAAACCTTCTCCAGCAAGCCTTCCATCATAATGGCAATGAGAGTACAAGCTCTTGACTCCTGTATCTACCCTGAAAGGGACCTGTCCATTCTGTGCTACCAATCAGAACTGCTCCCCCCTCCCTCTATAGGCTCAGGCATTCAGGACCTTTGAGATGCTCGCATCAGGACATAGGGCAGGCATTTGTACAGCAGTGTCTCCAGATAGGT